CGTCAGTTAAGTTTTTTTAGTTATTTTATGTAGGTATAATTTTTCGGCGAAGCAACCCACGATGACGCCAGGCCGTATAGGTTAGGTAAATTGGTTAACTATTTTTTTAATTAGAAGACAAGGAAAATATTACTATACTTTATTTAATATATTTTACATTATTTGATTCAACCATCTGAGTCCATGTGCGGGATTAGAGTACCCACACTGTGATAATACTATCAGGGTAGCTATTCTTGAATTCGAGGGAATCGAAAACCGATTTTTCCTCTGTATATGCAAGGCACATAGTTTGTATTTTTATCTCATTCTTCCTTCAAAATTTCTACTCCCTTATAGATTCAAGAATAGATACCCTGGTAGATAGTTTACCGTATCAGTTCATGCCCGTTCAATTTTTTTTGTTTTTTTAGTATCTAGGATTGTTATTTTTAAGCTATCAAGTTTGAAAACACATAGCAACAATATACAGCATTGCTTTACGTTAAAGTGGTGATAAAATGAAAAATTAAAGATCACAACGTAATGATTGTTCTTTTCTTTAATCTTTTTTACGTTCGACTAATTGCATTTTCGATAATTTGAATTTTCAATTAATTGATTTTTCGACATTTTTTAATTTGTGACTAATTAAATTTTCGATCATCGCTTTCACTGCCCGGGACTCTAAGCCTGCCCACCGTACTTTTTTTTTAAATACAGATGTTTTACCTACTTTACTTTTTGGATGGAATTAGGTTTACTTTTATAGAATTTTGTGAAATGGTAAAAAAACGCAGGTCACGCATTGAGGCCACCCACCTATAAAAAATGGACTGCATTCCCACAACTCGGCAGACGCGGTCTTGCTTTTTAGATAAAACTACCCTATACAATTTCTATCTAAAACTAGATTCTTCAACTATTAAAATTCCTAAAAATGAGTCAAACAAAACAGTCTGGTTAGGACATAATCATATTCTTTTCTATTCAGTATTCCAACAAATCTTACCATTTATCATTGCCTTTGGCACCTTTTTCGCGGTATTGTGGAAAATGAACTAACTCCGGATATTCTTTGATATTTGACGGGTGGTCAAAAATGTATAAAAGCAATTTATATTTCACTAACATGCACTTCTGACAACTAACCTGCAACCAACGTCCTCATATGGCTAATATAAACATATTTCAGGAACCGCTACATATTTTAGTTACAGGTCTTATCTGAGTGCCCAACCCAAAAAAAAAATGTTGCGATAAATCGACGTATGTTCACTTGTTCAGCACAATATAATCCTGAACGCGGTAGCCAAGTTGTGGGCACATGAATTTGACTCAGCCAAACTAGAACGCGTTGTGGACAGTGAAAATGTTCTGGATTTTCGACGTTTTTGCCCTTTCGGCTATTTATATATACATAATTCGATTTGATCATTTATCCCTTCGTACCTTTGACTACAAAATAAAAATATAAATATGTTATTGTTAATTATCAATGAAATGGTTATAGCTCAACATAAAACAAGCATACCATTTCTAACTGAACCCTATTGATTTAATTAATCTAGGCTGATTTTAAAATTTCGTTACCCAAGTCAATTCGTTTAAATTTGCCGATGTAAAAAATATTTTCAACGTTGTAATTGATAACGGCCAAAAAATTTAAAAATGTATACATATGAAAAAAATAGTGGAGAAGCAAATGAGGGAATTAGACAATATAATCGAAGTCCAAGTTGAACAGCTTATAATGAATTCCGATTCAATTTTATAGTTGATTTAATTTGCGCAACTCAAACTTATGTTAACATGAAATCTCTTTTTATAATATACAACTTTTTTTTGTAAATTTCTGATATATTTGAAGCAATGCTAGTCCTTATTGTGATACTGGCTAATAGGTATCAAGTTATCATAATCGGTAAGGAACGGTTGTTTACGCCGCTGCTAGATTTGGACATAATATAGTTTGAACAAACACAGATAAATCAAGTCCGTTTTGCTTCACATCTTCCTACTGTAAGCTGCACGCATTTTCAATGAATTTCTCTTCTATGGAAAATCATGATATTCGGCTTTTGAATTCTTCTATACGCAGTTTTATGCAGAACAGCTAAAAATCAATTGTACTTAACTTTTCTTAAGTAAGGTATTAAAGAAAAAACGGAATGAAGCACAGAGGAATTTAATCTTTTTTATTTAGTTATACACATTTTTGGAAGTAAACATATGTACAAGTCCTGTTAGCGAGACCAACTATAAAATACAAATAGTAATAAATAACAAATTATTGATAAATATTCAATCTACTTGTAGGCTCATCATCCAAATAGTCAAAACAGTTTGCAGGGCATTTATAGAGAGCTACTTTATCTTAATATTACAAACATTTCATATTTTTCGTTCCTACACAGCTTCACATCCATATTTAGGGGCTGTTTAACAGCCAATGCTGATATGTCTAGCACATACATTAAAAATGCCAACCTAGACTCAATATCATTAAATCTTTACAAAAAAATTAATCAACGTCTCATTATCCGAAATGCAAAAAAAAACAATCTGAAAGTTACTTATGAAGATTTAAAACACAGCAAACGTTGTTAAAACTCGAGAACATTGTAGTTGTTATCATTTAAGCAAAAAGTGGTAAGTACTTTTTGAAACATGTTTTAAATGCTACTAAGAATATTTTCATGAACAATTATTTTTACACTATTATGTAAGAAATATATTTAAGCAGGGGTTCCCAGCATGGAATTATTATTTCGTTAAAATTCATCGGCATAAGACAGCCTTCCGAAGTACAGTTTTAACCTATTACAAGCTTTTAACAATTCTGTATCAAGTGCATCCTTAAAACGGAAAAGTTTTTGTTTCAATAACGAAACGGTGTAAATCAATTAAATTAAAGCTGCCTGTTTTAGGTCGATTTGAAGTTTATTTAAACATATAATATGAAGAAATGTTTTAAATGAGAAGATAGTTCAAAAATTGGAATACAGTGATAAATACAGTATGGAAACGTTTAAATTACACATTATACGAAAAATACCAACATTGTACATAGCTCAACTATTACACCACCTTGCCGTAACGAGAGAAGGTATGTATAGATCATTCTTACATTTAAATACTGTTTCTGAAAATCTTCATTTGTATTCTGTCTATTTTTGTTAACATTTGTAGAAACAATGTGGAATATTATGGACAGTTTTTATTATTAATCTTACAAAATTGCAGAAAAACAGAATTTTTGCGAAACTGCAATTGAAAAAACCAAAGAGGGCTATTGTTTCAACACTCACCAGATGGCGGAAATGAAATGTAACGTCAAAAAACGTTCTAATAAAATTTATTTTGTTATACAGATATTAAATTGCTACTTTATACATTATTTTATGTATAGAAGAGAAAGACAATAAATCGGCAATTAAAAAATATAAAAAGAAAATAAGTTATAATATACAGTATATTGTTAGAACGGGGTAACTCAGAATAAAGATGAGGTGCTTAATTATATTTTGACGTGAGATGTATAAAGAGAGCAATTAGTTTACTAAGCCCTTTAGATGGCAAAGATTAAGATATTGCATGGATATTGTGGTCCCGTCTATTATTATATGTCTCTTTAATCAATACTATTGTGTTTCTATACCGTTCTACTGGAATCAGGAAAGTTAAAGTACTGTTTATTTTAAGAAATAAGACCGTTAAGGCTAACGCAGACTATGCAGGACCACATCAAGTTGAAGCCAGTCTTAGAGATATAAAAATAAGACATTGGTGAACAGGTTTGATCACTTTATTTTATTGTATTGACAAAGAGCAACAATTAAAAAATCAAGTTGTATATAAAAATTAGCTTGCTAGCGTTTTTTCATCACAGCTCCTAAATTGTTATCTAATCTGCTTTACACGGCGCAAGTATTCTGAAGAGAAATTTGTAATCACGCATGATATAAAATGTTCAATTTTTGTGTAATCTTCATGAAAGTTTGACAGAATTGTGTATTGGTTAGAAGAACTGTAAATGCAAACTAGACCAAGTTGTGGGTTGGCATGCCTTATTTGAGGTACCATTAAAAATGTAACACATGACCTTCTTCTAAAGTTATCAAATATATTAAGTTGTGTTTTATCTAATTAAAAAGTGTTCATAATATTATATCTTAATTGCCAACGACAATACTTGAAAAATTTAATTTTACACTTTTCCTCAAATTTTTCTATTACGGTCAATTTTAGAGAAATCATGTATAGGAAAAAAATATACAGAATTGAATGACAAATAATTTTTTTCTATAATCAGAAATAAAAGAAAAATAACTTAAAGTAGAAAAACAAACCCTTATAAAGTTTCCCCCTACCGATGCTTTGACTATGCCTAAAATCTAATCAGCTCACTGCAAGATGGATTAGAGATACAGCGAAAACTCGAGTTCGAAAAAAATTATGTTCCTTACTGGATACAGGAAAGTAAAAAACAATCAAAATAAAAGTTTTAGGTTAAGATTCACCCATAATACAAAAATTGACAGAGGTATGGATACTTAGTCGAACAATATCTCGTCGAATTCGCGCATGAGGTATTGTGGTGTGGAATATAGTTGATATGCTGATTGGTCATGAGCAGATTTAAATTTATTTTCCACTGTTTTCGATCAGCTGATACCTCAAATTCACAAAAACCACGCATTCACACAATACGTAACCGTGACGTTTCAATCGGCGTAATATCATATCTTCTTTTTATAGTATCATGGGATTCTGCAACCTACATAATAATATTTTGATTGGAGGCATTATTTTCTTACAAACTTGCACTGTGTAAAATGAGGTAATAGAAACGTGCAATTATTACTCTCTTGCAAGATATAACAGCGAAATTACATGCAACAAACTTTCGTCATGAAATGCTGTTTTTAAAATGTCATTGACATGTGGACTTCTAGTCTCAGCAGCGCGCTCTAACGGTAAAACAACTTCTGTTAGCCCTGATTGTAAAGTAAAGAGAACTAAAAGAGAAATAAATTCTCACATAAATTATCAGAGATTTTACCAATTCATCTATAACACGTTATTGGCCTCTTTCAAATCAGCCACTTAATACTGAACGTCCTCCGAAACTCAAGATCTCTTCAGCAGTACGATTCTCATCTTTCAATACAGCATATGTCGAGATGCATATCTTCGTTCAACTGACTGCGATTCTTATGTAATGTCTCTCTCTATTCAACATAACGTGTCGAGTTCGCACATAAGAATCCCTGTGTTGATATTTAAAATGTCCATTTCTAGGGAAGGAAATTAAGTATATTCGTCTTTTATATGACAAAAACTAATGAAATGAAATTTTTTTTAATAATGAATTCATAGATTTAAATGCACTGATTCAAAATTATTTCTACCAATGTTACTATCTAACAACTGATCAACAAAACGAAGGCCATGCACAACGAAAACATTTCCTTACTGTATTATTGATATACACAAATAATAATCTCATTTTGCCATGCTTAGTTTTAAAATTTTTACTGTTTGCTTGGTAGGAACCCTAAGTCCTTAGGTTTTCAAATGCCACAACGTAAATATTCCACTTTTCACTCAATTTTAAGGCTTATGTCCTCATTTAAACTCGATTTAATACTAATTAACAAAATAGTGCAGATTTTAGAAATTACAATTATTAATAGAAATATGAATTTTAGTTGTTAAAGTCTGCAACTTATATATTATTTAAGGGACATCAACCTTAAGCTATTACTGAACTACTACCACATCTACTACTTTTGCCTGCTCTTAAATCCAAATTTCATTCCAAAAACAAACATATTAGATTAAAAAAATGATCTCACTGACAGAAGTGGATTGACATGGTGCTAAAATTAAGGAAATATTGACCATCATCACTTATCATCATCATCATTATCATCGACTTCTTGAATCAAGCTAATACAAAATATCCCCCAACTACGTACGTAGCCAGAAAAATACAGTTCTATAAGTTAAAAACAAATGTAAAATAATAAAAAGTATCACTTTGTAACAATGAACAAAAATTAACATGTACACAAAAAATTACAAGCTTGCATTGAACTTGAAATCAAATGTCAACCGTTTTATTACGACATAATTATTGAATTTACCACAATAATTTATAATTTGCTCAAAACAGTTTTATAACAAATAATCTAAAGATCTACGTTATTCTGCATCAGGGACAGTTAGAAGTAACTTTTATTTCAGGTTTTTTTTTAGATAATTTTTAACTCTTCTTGCAGTAAATGTGAAATTGGTTCTACAAAAACGAAATTAAATTTGTATTTTCAATTATTTTTTTAATAAATATAAATTTTGGGACTTAATTAAAACATTTTAAATACAGTTGCTGGCGAAAAATCACTTGCAATCGGTAGACCTAAACTTAAATTGCCCATATTTTGAAAAGTAGGAAGCAGGACTAATCGAAAACATGGACGGGGGGGGTAGAAAATAAAAAGTGGTCTCTCTCTGTTCGCGAATTTCCAACATGTTTGCAACCTGACGTGCACCGCCGACATGGTGACAAAACAAAGTTGCCACACAGAACACTGTTGCCACATAATATTTAATAGAGTGCGTTGTCACGTCACCATAAAAATTGTATTTTTAGGCGGCTTAAATGAAATATTTATAGGTTTTTTTTAAATCAGACAAGAAAACCGGGACTAGTGGTTTAAAATCGGGACGAAAGGTCACTTTATCTAAACTCAAAAACAATTTAGAATTAATATATTTTCACAGTATTTAAATCTGAGTGACTCAGTGAAAATGTAAAAGCCGATTATTTAAACAATGAATTAGTTCTAGATATGTGAGACTTTATGAAAATTTCATAGATATATAATAAATTGTTAATTAAGATTACATTATTGATAACGTTTTGTTTATTATCGACAAATTCGTTTCGAGAACAATGCAAGGTACAGTTTTCACAGCTCTTCAAAAAGCAAAAACAGTGCAAAACTGCTTCAGACCTATATTACACAGAATTAACTTATTTTTAGAAAACAATGGTATTTCAATTCAATTAAAAAATTATAGGAGAGCACTATATATTTAATATAAACATCTCTGAAGTGGTTGTCATTTTCTAAAAATAAGTGCGGGCATCCAACTGCCTATTATATCTTTCTCGTGGTAAAAACTATTAACAAACAACTATTTCTTGGTTGGAGTGCCCCTCTGGGTGAGACCTTCAAACCTCTTAAACGTGTAGTTTATGAACACCCAATCTTTGTAGTTAATTTCGCCGTCTTGAGGAAGGGGTGCAGCAGCTGAAAAAAAAAAATAATTGAAAATGATTGTATTGTTTTAAAGTTGTTTTTAAACATTTGTAACATAATTAAAAATACTCTCAACAAATACAATTATTTTGGCACTCTGTCGACGTTCTTCAAATTTCAATATTTCATTATAAAAAGTAGGTAATCCACAAAAAATGTTTCTAAAGTAGGCCATGACTAACAAAGATGCAGATACGAGTCATGTTTTAAATAAACACCACAATTTTTTCAAATACGACTTTTGACATATTTTTGGATCAATCAATCAATCATAATATGTCACGAGAAGCAACTCTCTTATTGCCACCAAATATGCAGCTATTAGACCTGTCAAACAATAGCTGCCGGTGGAGAAGGCTAATATAACTAAGAGAGACGCTATTTTTATTCAAAATAGTAGTCGCCAAGTCTGCCAATTTATGAAAAATGTATAGACGGGTTTTTTACATAAGTTTCATTATTCATGACTATGAAGACTAGAGGTAAGGAGGCGAATCGGCTTTGGTCAAATTTCAAATTTCCGTCCCTACTTTTATGGAGTTCCATAAAACTACTGTAATTGGCGGGTGGCAAAATAACGACGTCTATTTTCTATGCAAGTCAATGGGAATTAAAGTGATTTTTGTAAAATTTAGTGAAAAGAATAAAAATAAGCTGAAATAAAGAACCTGACTACAAGTAACAATGAGTAACAAAAATCGACAAAGCAGGATGTTCTTCGTGTCGGGTTGCAAAACGGGATATAAATCCGACATAAAATTAAAGAAATCACAAGGAGATAAAAATTCAAGTCTTTTTAAAGCTCCTAGTGTAAGTAAAATAATGTATTTATTTCTAAATAATATATATTTATTGTAAAATAGTCACAACCCGTATCTTACGGAGTGTAGTTTATTTAATTACAAAATTCTATAATAAATATAATAGTCATAAATCCTCATTTACAAAAAACAATAATTACACATTAAATTTAACTTACTAGAAAAGAAAATTTGCTTTTTTTATGTTTTTTGATGTTAGATGAAGAGTTACTACTGTTATTTTTATTTATTGAACTCCAATTTAGTCATTGCAAATATTTTTTATAGGATCCTAAACGTTTAGAACAATAGCAGCATTTGATTCCTAGGGCTGATAAAATACTGTCTAGTTATGATTCTGTTTGCGAGCTACACTTTTTAGAAGGTGATATTTTAAAATTTGATGAGACTATTTTAACTAATGGTACTGTTAGTAAAATAAAAAGGGGACAGCTGAAATTAAAAGGATGAGGTAATCCCATGTACATTCCAAAATCTTCCTTTATACTTGTATTACAACAATAAAAATCTGTTAACTGTGTTTTATTTTATTCTTAAAACTATATATTGGTTCAATTGAAAAAAAAATTGCCACAAAATTGTACTTATCAAATTTCAATAATTAAGAAACCTTTTCGAATTTGGTCATACATACCAAAATTGTATTTTATATAGATAAAATTAAATAATTTATCAATTAAAACATGCAAGACTTATTTAGAAATAAATACAACAGTATGTTCTGTGCTTTATTTAACTGTAAACAAGTTTATTTTTATTATTTTGACAAAATTATGTATAATTCCCATAAGAAGCCATGTATTTTGAACTACGTAAACCGTACCAGCGCCCATGCGGTTAATTATAAAAGCTCAATTGACGTGTAATTTTTGGGACCGTATTTTGAGCATGCCGATTCGCCTCCTTACCTCTAGTCTTCATATTCATGACTTTACGTGTTGTACATAGACATCATATGTGGCAACCTCTTAGATATACCAACCCTTCTCACGATAGCAATTTTTTTTCGAATGTTTATTACAGGGCGACTCACTAAACCCTAATCAAGTTAATCAAATAATATTAATATCATTTATTTTTATTTTTAATAGATATGAATTAATCAGTACATATTTGGCATTTCTAAGAGGCCAACTAGTATTCATATCTCAGGAGTAGATCTATGAAAAAAAACCTACATATTATGAGTTTACTGGAAATACTGACCAAGTCAACATTTGTAAAATTTGAGTTAAGAGGAGTAAGCCATTTTTGCTTAAAATAAAAAAAACACTAAAATTATATGTAAGATTTATACAGTATTAAAAGGTAAATATGACTTGGTAAATTTTTTTAGTGAAACAGGTCACTTTTATTAGTGACTTGGTCATATTAACTCAAAGGACCCTGCACAAATCTTATGGGAAATGGCTTATCGTGAGATTCTTCTGAAATTCAGATATGTTGTAGATATCGACCTACTGATCAAACGTTATCACTTCCGTAACTCCCTATAAACAACCTTTTGGATAGTACAGGGTGTTGATGAACTTTTTTGATATTAGACTCAAATCCATTTAAGTTCTCTCATATTGTGTCCAATTCAAGAAAGAAAGGGTATTTGCTATTATCAATGTTCAACAACATTCCCTTGAATATGTGATACTTATTGTTACAAAACTGTCTTTTACTTGTATACAGGGTGTTAAATTATCATTTATCTGACTTAAGAAAAATCACATTTTTATTCAAAACGTATTTCCACAAAATCGGTTGCTGGATTTTTTAAAATTTTTTCGTATGTTTCACACAAAGCCACCCTTTTTCATGTCCCGTGGGAAAACTTGTCAAGGCCCTTGCAGTTTCTTGAAGAAAAATATTTTATCGCGTTCATGTATTCGTTTTACTTTAGTTAATTTAGTTACGTTCTCAGTTCGCTTACATGCAAAATAATACGTTCAGTGCCAATATACAGGGTGCTCCTCATTTTAAATGTAAAATATAAAATTTGTTCGATTTTTCAGCTCATATTTTTCAATAATGCAAGGAAGCTTTAAGTTATATCTCTAAACTCAATATTCTGCAGAGTATTTTTATAATTACCTATTATTACAATAATACACAAGGGTGTATAATATTTTATATTTGTTCTCTATACTTATCAAGATTTGATAATGTAAAAATTTGATCTAATGCAGGAACAAATCGATATGATGTACAGTATGTTTCAAAGTGTGGCTACAGGAATTTATATGGTAAATTTTACACAGTCCCAAACTTAACATTTTATATTTTAATATGAATACAATTCTAAATTTTAATACAAAGAAAATCAATTCAAACTTACTGAACATCTGATTGAAATAACTATCAAAGAATGAATTCCAGTGCAATCTATGCAGAACTTTATTGCATATATACACATCACTCGTATTCATATTAAAATATTAAATGTTAAATTTGACACTGTATAATATTTACCATGTAAATCCCTGTAGCCACACACTTTAAAACTGTACATTATATCGATACGTTCCTGTATAAGATCAAATTTTTTTGTTATCAAATATTGAAAGGCATAAAAAACATAAGATTAAAAAATAGAAAATATTATGTTCTAAATATTTTGGTAAAATATATTATTTAATAATAGATCATCATAAAAATACTCTGCAAAATCTTGAATGCAGAGATACAACTTATAAATATAGCATTATTGAAAAATATGAGCTGAAAAATGAAACAAATGTTATTTATATTTTAAATAAACCTGAAAATATTATTATGTATATAAGAGAACTGAAAATGTAACTAGTTGTGAAAAAATAATTAAGTAGTTTTTGAAATGAATACATAAATGTGACAAAATATTTTTCCTATATCAAGAAACTACAAGGACCTTGATAAGTTTTCCCAAGGAACATGAAAAATTGTTTTGTGTGGAACATATGAAAAAATAAAAGAAAATTTCAACAACGAGTTTTGTGGAAACACATTTTAAATAAAAATTTGATTTTTCTTAATTTAAACAAATAATAATTTAACACCCTGTATACAAGTAAAAGATATTTTTGTAAAAATAAGTATCACATATTCAAGGGAATGTTACTGAACATTGATAATAACCCTTTCTTTCTTGAATTGGACACAATACAAGAGAACTTAAATGGATTTGAATCCAATATCAAAAAGTTCATATTCAACACCCTGTACTATCCAAACGGTTGGTGATAGGGAGTTCCGGCAATGGTAACTTTTGATCAGTAGGTCGATATTTACAACATATCTGAATTTCAAAAGAATTTCGCGATAAGTCATTTGCCATAAGATTTATGCAGAGTCCTTCTACAAATTTGGACTTGGTCAGTTTTTGCAGTAAGTCCACGATATATGTATTGCAATTACTGAAAGCAGTGGCGGCTTGTACCTTACATACGTAGAACGGTACAGAGTTACAAATAAAAAACAAAGAAAGCTCTAGCGGTCAAAAACAAAAGAAAAGGGAAAAAAGATCTAGCAGTTATAGGAAATTAACTGAACCGTAAACAACTGAAGAGTAAAGAAACTCTTAAACAAAAACAAATTAACTGAAAAGTGGTTACAAAGAACAGCTGAACTAAAGAACAAAACAATTGCTGTTTACAAAGGTGCAATTTAGGAATTGGGATGGAACAAGAATATTTGGCAGGGAGGGCGGTGGTGGAGTCTTTTTTTTTTTCTAGAATTGAAACAGTATAAGAGTATTTAGCAGGAAGGACAGCGACCTCTAGTCCTCATACACGAGCCGTCACTGGCTAAAAGTATCCAAACTTATATTTCGGTGGTAATATTATAAAAAGTGGTATTTTATGAACGACTATTTTTTTGAAATGTCAGGATTGGAGTGAGTTGGAATTAAAAAAAAATCGATACTTAAGCTTAACACGAAATTAGATTTAGGTCCATTTGCACCACTTGTCGTTAAGAAATAAGGCAAGCTTAATTGACATTTTTTTATTAACAATGTCATTTTAAGCTTCGCTTATTTGTTAACGACTAGGAGTTCAAATGGCCTATGATAGATAATAAATACAACCAATCAGAAAGATGACAACGATTAACAGACATATATTGTTTTGCATTGCAAAAAGTTGTTTTTTTAGTCATAGTAAGCCTTGTACCACAACGATAATACAACTTATCAATAAGAAAATATAGTCAACCCAATTGGTCAAAACAGCATCACGTGGCATAGGAATTATATTCTCATATATAGTACAATGAATGATATTGGAATTATACATAGTCCGGATCACAAATTAATAAAATATGACAGTTTAATAATTTAGAGTAGCAGTACAAAAACAATGACAAAACATGACAAGCTTGTCTACTAGATCTTTACAGCATTATTGTACCAAGCATGATTATCAGCTAATAGTCAAGAATGATGTATGATTATCGATTATTAATCAACTAAAAGCATTGGAAATAATTACATTGTGGGTGATATAATCTATATAATAAAAACTAGTTTACTGTCAATGAGTGAATGTCACATACAGAAAGCTAATCTACTGTAGCTTGACGTCCAAGTCAAAGTAGTCATATTTGTCAATTATTATTAAACATATAAACATTCTGTTTCCATATACTTATTTGAAATAGAAATAAATCTGTATGGTTAGTAATTTTGAACATGCACACAACAAGATTTTATCTCCCTGACATAGAAGTAAATACAAATATAAACTAGTTCACCTTGGTAAATATTTGGAGTCAGTGATCATATTGGCCGATTTCTACCTATTCAAATAATAAAGTAAGTATATAATTATGTAAGATCTCAAATGTTACGTGAAGAATTTAAAATCCTGTCTTTAAGTACGATACGTAAAATAGCAATGATGAACTTGTTATTCAAAGTGATAAATAATCAAATAAACTGTAGCAGACTTTTATACTACATACCGTTTCATGTCCCTCCTAAACGCACACGGAACTCCCTAATATTCAATATACAAAACTCTGCTGGTTCTCCACTTTATTCAATTCTGTGTTTGGCCAATAATATTAATACTATAGTAAACTTAGATTGGTCTCTGTCTTTAATGCAATTTAAAAAGTTGATAATATCTTACTTCGATACCTTTGGAATTTAAATAATATAAATAACAACTACTTTAAAAACATGTAAAATTTCTTAAAATTATTTAATTCTACCATTTAAAGTGATTTATCCTCTGCAATTAAAATACTGTAATATTATGTCACCTGTAAAAAAATTACTTAAATTATACTATCCATGTAATTAGGCTAGTTAAGCCTGTTTGGATTTTTATTAAATAAATAAATAAATAAAATAAATAAATATTATGCCACTGGTTCATTAATTTTATTTTATTAAATCGTCGGATCTAGTGATTCACACTGTATAGCCGCAAAGCCTATAAATACAGGGTGTTCCTAAACATCGTGGACATACAGAACGTGGTAATTCTTTGGATTATTTCATGACTAAAAGTTCATATAAACATAGGTCCACAAACGCTTTGTTACCGATCTACAGGTTGTTGAAATTTCAAGATTTTTCTTGTATTTTGCTTTAGAGCTCCTGCAGTTTTTGAAATATTTAGCTCAAATTTGTAATCTAGATTGCATTATAGGTCATACATTATTGGGTATGTCAGATGGTTGTTGAATCTACAGGATATTTTTTCAGGAGTCATCTTCCCTTTTCTCCCCCTACAAAATGAATTTTTTATTTTCTTTAGAAACTTTCTTTGTTTAGAAAAAAAAATAAAAACTATTTTCTGTAGAAATGATTTATTTTACAATATAAAAATCTAAATAATATCTATTAAACTACATTACAACAAATGTTGAAAGTGACCCACCCACTCCTACGCTTGTTGCATTCCAAATTTGAGATAAATATCTCAAAAACTGCAGGAGCTCTAAAAAACAAGAAATTTCAAAGCCCTGTAGATCGGTAATGAAGCGTTTGCAAACCTAAGTTTATATAAACTTTTAGTCATGAAATAAGTCAAAGAATTACCCCCCTTCCGTATTAGCATGATGTTTGGGAACATTATATTAAAATTTAAACAAAATCGATAGAGGTCCAAAATCAATGTATTTATTTGATGCAGATATTTTTATAGAGATATTTTTTATTTGTATCAAAATAATAAATATAACGAAAAAAGTCTTGGAGCCATATGGTATGCTCGACTGTTTTGTTATATCCACAATTTTTTAAATTTATATATCACAACAAGTGCTTCTTTAAGATAAGTTTCATCTAAACGTTTAATGCAAAAAAGTATCTTTATATAATAAAGATACTTGAATAAACAATATTGCAAACCACCATATATATTATCAAATGATGATTATTATGAATATTTATTTTTTTTTTTTGAAGTGCAAGTCTGACGTTTGAGATAATTTTTTATTTTTTTTAAAGATAAATATTTTCCATTGTGCAAAAATCGAATATAACAACAAAATTTTTAAATATTAAAAATCGAATATAACAACAAAATTTTTAAATATTTAATGTTCCACACATGCATTGTATTTTTATTGATTCTCAATTTCTGAGAATAGGTATGTAATGACCAGACATAAGAATAAAAAATATTGTATACCTAATAATTAAAAAATTATTGTACAGTTCTCGGAAAACTAATTTTGCGAGAACATAACTACAAGGAATATTATCATACTAGTGTAATGTAAATAATAGTTAGGTACATCAATTGGGTAATTAATATTACTTACAGCTGTAAAACTGCAATAATCCTTTAAATTTATTTATATTTTTCAATCGTTTATTAACTTTTTCATTATTCTTTTAAAAATATGAGGCATAACAAGCTACAGAAACTAAAATCAACTGCACTTGCTATTTTTGCTAGTTTATTCGTACTTAAAAATACTGAAGAATTTTTTAAATTTACTTTAACACTACAACTATTTACAAACAGCTTTATTTTTTTAATACAATACATTTTACACTTACGAATTTCAAGTTTAACATCAGGGAAATCATCAAAGTTTGATGTATCGTCAATTGATTTAACTTCTACGGGTATGGCTGCCGGCCGTTCCCTAATATGCTCCCAATCCACACCACGGAAGAACTGATTCAGTTTCAGATCTTCTAGACCTTTTTGAGATCCCAGTCTTCTGTCTGCTTCACAACAGAACCTGAAATAAAAACATTTTTAGTAATATAACTATTACTAGATTGTAAAAAAATAGTATAAAATCTAAAATAATAGTAATGATCAGACCAAGAACAAGATAGAGCCTAATATGAACACTTGGTAAGTAATGTAATAAAACTTACGAAAGATGCAGTAATTCACCAATATCAGGCCTGATGATGGCGAATTAGATGAAACAGGTTGCCGTTTCAATTCATTATAAAAATGTGTTTTGTTTTTTTATTTTGTTACTACATTGACCACATTTAGGAAGACGGATACCCTTTTCTTTTTACTTTTATTTAATTTAGTTTTAAATTTACAAATAACGAGGTCTGACAATTAAGTAATAAGACTAGTTTTTTGCCGTGCATGTGGCAACACAGTGAACTGAAAATTCGGGTAGTTAATCTACTATGCTTCCTTTATGGATTGATGTATTTGTATGTCACGTTTTTCAAGTTAAGTGTATAAAGTGTGTGTTACGAAAATGGACCGCAATACTGAGCAACAGTACGCAGAATTTACTTAAACAGGTTGAACATGAACTAACCTTTCTAGATTGTGTAATTACTGGCGACGAGAGTTGATTCTTTCAGTATGATCCTAAAACAAAGCGGCAAAGCCAACAATGCCTGTTTGCTGGCGTAGTAAAGCCAAAAAAGACAAGAAAACAAAATCCAAAGTCAAAAAGATGATAATTTGCTTTTTTGACAGCAAAGGGGCGATGATAAGGAGTTCGTGTCACCTGAGCAGAACATTAATCAACAATTCTACCTCGAAGTACTCGAAATATTGTAAAAAAGGTTGATAAAGGTAATCCAGACATCGTAAATACATAGATCCTTCACCATGATAATGCACCATTTCATCGTATCTTCAGTATGATACAATTTTTGACCTCACAGCACATTCCAGTGTTTCCCCTGTGACTTTTTTGTTTCCCTAGTCAAACAAGTCGTGTAAGGAATATATTTCTAGAAGTCTTACGAGAACTGGAAAAAAACATTGGACTCAGTGTGTAGCTGCCCAAGGGGAGTATTTTGAAGAAGATTTTGAAGGAGATCATATCGGTGTACCTTAATTTTAAAATATACGTGGTTTTTGCAATCAATATCATTACTTGTCAGACCTCATATATAAAATTTTGTCTTGTACATTTTAAGTCTCTAAAATTATTTATCATGAAATTTTGCATTTATATTAGCATTTGTATATAATACGCATCATATATGTGCTGTAAAAAATACTAATAAAAGCTTCGAAATTTTAATTACATAAGTCGAAGTAAAAAATTCAAAAGACCACAGACAAGCACTACTCACCCTGAACAGACCACAAATTTACCATGGTTAGTACTAGAATGTCACGAAGCTTTGGCTGAAGTATTCATCAACAATGTGATCAACTTAAAATGATTGACTAGCCAAGAAGGCAGCCAACCAAATACTTTTTGGACCTGGTCTTTCTATTGGACTGAAAACATCACTAGTGACAGACCTAATTGAAGAATATTCCCCTGTGAAATTCAAGGAAAGATGGGGTGAAACAAGAAACTGCAGAGTTGCGAGGGAGCTTTTAAGTTATCCCTACAACACTACAGCAAACAAACGCCTATGACTAGCCAGAATCTGCGCCCGATCACGGGCATTCAGACTTCTGACTTATTGCCAAGTACACAAACACCTCTACTGCATGTGGCTGTCGAAATCCGCACTCTGCAGGGGATGCAAAAAAAAAGATAAGACCATCGAGTATATTCTCTATAATTGCCAGACACTCTTATTTATTAGAAGATTTGAGTTTGGCGAGTATTGGCTAACACCGGCCGATATAAGAGAAGCACATCTTGGCGACGTTGTCAACTAGATTAAATCTGTAGGCTGACTCAGGAGATAGGAGGTGTTTATCAATTTAGGAGGATGCACAGTAGGCCTAGTGACGCCTAAGTGCCGTGGAATAACCCATCCTATATACGTTATAAATGCAGATACAAGACCGCTAATTTTTAAAATAAGATCTACATTACCAACCAAGAATTAATTAGTTGAACAAAGCTCACTCATATGTCACTGAAATCAAACTTGTAGCCAAATTTCAATGAGAAATCGGCAACTCTTATCCTTTCTCCATGAAAGAATCTGAACAGCATTATTACTGATCTGTTAATTTGCATTTTGTACGGTTATTTTAAGTACCTATAATCAGTATTATTTGCTACGTTATATATATACGTTTACACGACAGATGAAGTGTGTTCAACCTGTTTTGTAAAATTATATTATTTTCTCCTCTTCCATCACTGCCTTTCTGAATCTGAAATAAAAACTTTTCAAATTCCTAAATACACAGACGGAACTTTTCAGTTCGCTAATAATAATTCAGACAGAGTGTGCTCTTGTAAAAATTCTCTGGATTCCTACAAATTAATTTTCAATGAAAGCAGTATTAGAAGTCTATATTATTGGAAAAATGTTATTTTTAAAAACCATTCAGACTCGAAGAGACCTCTTATTATTTGATTTTTAAATGAATATTTACAGTTTCATTTTGACCCTTAATGTAAAATCCTTGTATTTTAATCCAAAAGACATCAATATTTGATCTTTACTTACTCTTTTCTTAAATATCTTCAGTATGAACGTTACTAACGGTTTTTTTTTTAAGTAAAATCGTAGGGAACGAAATTGAGTTTTAAAAATGTTTTATTGATTGCGTTTAGGGTGTGTTTCAAAAAATGTGCTGGCAGAAATCTCGTAAAATTGGAATAACTAAAAAATAATAAAATGTACAATGTTTAAAAATAAAACATTCAAGATTGTCGGTGTGTGTTTGTTCACATACATTTTGAGTAGCATATTTAGGTAAGTTTGTTTCTGTCGATTTTACAATGTCGGATATAATACACTTTATTGAAGATTTCGTTGAACTTTATAAAAGTTATCCTTGTATTATTGAAAACCAAAAGTAATGATTACAAATACTCTGATAAAAATCGGTAAAGTATTTTACCCAGAACTTTCTTCGATATCCTCCTAAGCACTTAAATTTTAATAATTTAAAATTAAAACCACCAAACCAAAAACCCTTTTTCACATTTTTTCTCCATCGATCTTCCTCTAGATCCCACCCGAATTCTCACTTCGCGTCCATTCGGTATTCTTCGTCACGATCACCGTTATTGAACAATGATGATTGGCTGCTTTTAAATTGGTCCAGTTATACAAACCAAAAGGACGATTTTTATTATTTCCATTCAAGTGGTATCTTTTTTGATTAAATACGATTCCTTTCGGCGCCATTTTGAATTTTTAAAAACTTATTTAGAATCTGTAATCTTTGACTTCTAAAATTCTCAGATACCAATTTTAGTCGAAATCTGCCGACTTTTAAAAATATTTTTTGTCGGAAGTATAACTGGGTTGTTTCAGTCAGAAAGGAACCGTATCTGCATACAAAATTTGAAGTTTTTCTATAAAGCCGTTTTTGAGCTATCGCGCCAACAAACAGACAGACGAGGGACAAACCGACATAATGAAGAAACATGTTTTACAGGATTACAATACTTCCCTTTTATAGAGGGAAGTAAAAATGATGTAGCTCATAAAGTTTTACAGTAGAACCGAGCCTTTGTTGGATAATTGAAAAAAACACGGGTAATCCAAAAACCTCATTTTTAATTTTTTTTAGACAACTCGTTCTTATGTCAAAGAAACAAAATAAACGTGATGCATGTAACAAAAAATAAAAGTTTTAATATTTATACATAATGTAACAACGTACATTGAATGTACAGTGCATGTATTGATATGTCTGATTCAAAATTAATTTAGTGATGAATTTGTTGTTGTCGAACTGATTAATCAACGTTTGACGGGTCATGATCTGGGAATTAAAAATTATTATAACAATCAGAATATTTTGGAAAAAGAAATGTCAAATGGGAATTAAAACATTTTAAAGGGATTATCAACTAGATTTGTAAAGAAAAGATAGGCTTTTGAGTGGAAATTTATATTGAATGTGAATATGTAAGAGATAATAAAAAGATAAAATGTATCACATTATTGAAGAAAAAAAGGCCAGATAGCAGAGCAAGGGTAGAAGTAGTTATAAGTTAGTATAGCAGAAAGAAGCCAAGGTATAATAGAGTATAGAAGGATGGCGAAATGCAGCAGAAAAAAGTAAATAAATAAAAATACTCTAATTCCAAATAATATAAAATATCTTCTAAAACTTATTGAATATAATAACATTTAAACTCAGTTTTCCATGACGTATTCGTTCGCACAATTTCATTGGTTGTCGCAGAGTAGATCACTGTAATAGTTTACGAACCGTGGGTAAAACCCCATTGTCTGTCATTCATGTATGAGCTGTCTGTGGTCACCTCTAGAAGTTGAAAAATCTTCGAATAAGAGTTTTACATAAAAGAAAAAGTGGCATGTTTACTTACTTAATGATTGTATCTTTGGCCTCTTCAGAGATCGGTACTTCGGCAGGAAAAACTAACGTTTCCCTCCAATTCATAACTTTCGTGTACGTGTCTTGGGGATTTTCTGAACAAAACGGTGGATAACCTATAAGCATTTCGTACATGATCACACCCAATGACCACCAATCGCAGGCAGGTCCGTATCCCGTTTGCATGAATACTTCAGGCGCTATATAATCTGGCGTGCCCACTGTACTATACGCTAACGCCCTCCTGTTTTTCTTCCAGCTCTCCGCCCTACGTTTACTATCCATTGGACTCGACGTGATAACTGTAAAAAAAGGAATTAACATATTTAGATACGAAATCGAAAGTATTAAAGGAAAATAATTCCATGCTCGAATGCGACCAAGATATACATAACGAAAAATAACTCGAAGACTGTATCATTGAAAGCGGCGAGCGACCGCTTCCCTCCGGAAAACAACTACTCCTCTGGTTATATACCTCACAGGTATTGGATTATATCCAGAGAAAATTCTAAGTTTGATTTTGTTATTAAGGAGAATGTCATTGTTAGAGATTATAGAGATGGCAATGATATATCGATTATTATTTTACATCGATATATAAACTAAATATGTCAATAAAATTCAATAAGGCCAACGTTATGCACATACAGTTTGTTTATATTATTATCGAAATTTATTTTAAAAGTGGATTTAGAACAAAAACACTGTTTAGTATGTAATTTTGATCATGTAAGATGTAGATTGTTGATTCTTATTTTAATCAGATTCATATGGATATATTAAATTATTTTGCCATCCCTAGTCATTCTTGAACCGATTTCGTCGTTATTAGGACACAAAAAATAAACATTCTCACTTCCAATATATAATGGAAGCTGTAAACACTTAAATTTCACTTGTATACCATTATGTTGGTCGAGTGAAATTAAGAAATATAAAAGTAACATCTACAGTTGTAAGCAAAACCAAAGCTCGCTAACAATCTTAGTTATTGACACTGGTCCAAACTTGGATAAACGATCATAACCCTTTGGTATTGAATAATTGCTCTTGTTTGTATGAAGGTACTATCATGTTTTAACAATAACAACCCGGTTTTATTTATGTGTGGGCTTATGTGTAGTTTGACGATAAAGTTTGTTAAGACAATGTAGTTAGAAAGTGAATTTATTTCAGAAATGAATGTGGATGTGTCTGCTTTGACAAAGAAAAGGCACACTTATTTATCAGTGGATACTTAACAACTTGTTCTAAACGTATTTACCAGTAACATTCGTATTCAGAAAGCATTTTTATATAATTTCCTGTGTTTAAAATTTTAAAGAGAAAAGTCAACGTCAATTTAGAGAAAACATAAAGTTGGACGATGGCGTGAATTTTCAGTCACAAAATACCGTTGAACCGTTACTATGAGTAGTAAAATTCAAGTAAATAAAGTTATATATCCTCATATTATTAACCAATTAAATATTGGTTAATATTTTTATGGAAAACATTTATGAAATCGATAGAAAAACGTTTAAAGAATATCAATTTACCAAGATTAAAATAATTATATAACAGTCTTTGAAATCTCTAACAACGATTATTAAAAATTTACCCGTATGTAACTTACATGTAGGTACGTTTAAAGATCTTTTGTGAATTAAGTGGTGTTTTATCTATTTTCTTAATAAATTTTATTCATAAGTTAAGAACAGCTTTTTAGAAGGATCTATCAATAAATATAATTTTATACTACATTATACTGTAATCGATATTACTATTAAATATAATTTTATTTATTTACAGATCTTAAAATGGAATAACTACACTCTACAGCTGTGGACTGGACAACATTCGATAAAATCAAACATTGTCATAAGTGAATAAAATTATAAAAATGGAGCACAACCTCAGTTTTCTCTAAATGATTTCTGTTCTTCCTGTATGAATCTATCAGCTAAACAATATTATAGCACAGGCCGAATTTCCAGGGGGGGGGGGGGTATTACCATTAGCCATTCCACTTATTACCATATTTTTTTAATAAAAAGCTCATGGATTGCAAGAATTTTTAACCTCATGGTCCCCTCTCTGGAGACGCCCTTGGTTTGGTATGGCATGTATGATGCAAGCAACTTCCCAAATTTAAGCAAACAAATAAAAACGTTAAAATAACAAAATGATCATTGAACATTGCCACAAAATTACCGTATGTATATTATAAAGGTCACATGGTATTAGTTTTAAAATGGTGGACAAAACCGACAAAGAATAATTGAATCTTATCAATTAGTAAAATGAAGATGTGATTTTATTGAAAAAAAATTGTCAATTTCATAGTGAAGAGCAAACGGTGTATTATTTGGATGAAATTTGGTTTGATACACATGAGATAACAAACGTACTCCCAACTAGGGATAAAATAATCTGTATATTAGGTTGTGGAGGAGAGTCTGGATGGGTGGAGGATGCTATGTTATTATTGGCTAAAGATATAAAAATGCAGTCTAGATTATCATCAAGATATTGTTTTAAAAATGGTTAGAATTCGATTTGAATCCAAAAATAAAGAATAACTGTATTATTGTGTTAGAACGCATCCTGTCCATTCTATATTAGTTCACAAAATTCCAATTAAAAGTTCAACTAAACCTATAATCTATAATCCAACAACTTTTAATGGAAAATGATTTATATTATGAAGAGACTTAAAAAATCAGCTACCTACTAGTTTTAGAAATTTTACCAAATAGTGTTTAGTTCACAAAATCACAAAACATCATGGAAACGACATTCTACGGCTGCTTCCATATTATTATATTTTTAAAACTGAAGAATGATTTTGGGCTCAATTCAAAAAGGACAATCGAGATAATACTGCTCCAAAATCAACTGAATATGTTATTAATTGAATAAAACATGATTTAATGCTAATGTATATTGTAAAAAAGTGTTATTGGTATTACTGAGAATAAATGTTTAAGTTAAATAGTCTGCAAAGAATTATTATTAACTTAGCTGAAAGTAGTGACAGTGATTTTAGTGAAAACAGCAAATAATATTAATATTTTTGTATTTGCTTACTTTCATACTTTTTTAAAAAATGTTTTTTTTATACAGTAGGCAATTCCAGTTAATTTGTTTATAAAACAAGGCGGAATAATAACTAAACTGGCAATTATCCAAAAAAAAAAAACTGCGACCGCTTTCCTCCGGAAAAAACTACTCTTTTGGTTATATACCTCGACAGGTGTTGAATTGAATCCATAAAAAAATAAAAAGTATTAAAGTGGTATTACTTACTAAAATCCGACGGTTTCGCCTGACTTAGATCCCTGTAAAAGTCCGTCCGATGAGATTTCTTTAAACCAGTACACAATCCGAAATCCGACAACTTGAGATGCCCTTTGGCATCCAATAACAAATTATCCGGTTTAATGTCTCTGTGAATGAAACCGAGTTTGTGTATCGAATCTATGGCGAGCGCCGTTTCCGTTATGTAAAACTGGGTGCACTCTTCTGACAGCGTGTCTTTTTTCATTAGAAGCGTCATCATGTCACCGCCCGGCAGAAATTCCATTATTAAATAAAGGTTAATAGGATCTTGAAAACTATAATACATTTTAACCACCCACTGGTGATCGGCTTCTACTAATATATCACGTTCTGCTCTTACATGGGCCACCTGCAAAACAGAAAAAAGTTGAGATTAGTCAAACATATTGGCATTGATTTGATTATTCAAGGGATATCAAAAAAATTAGCCAAAGTTATTAATAGACCAACTGTCTAGTTTTTTTAACTATTAATATTATTATTTCATTTAAGTGATTTTAGGTATTTATTTATTTTGCCGAAAAACCCTATTATAGAAAAAAATACATAAACATACAAAGTAAAAATATTCAGTGACTAGTAAATAATTTTCATACTTTAATAACACAAATCTATTGCGATCTATTTCTGTTTTTGTTTTTAAAGGATATATTGACAGAAAAATCGATGTCTAACTCATTAGCCTTTATAGAGCCATTCTTGATAGAGGACTAAAATAACCGTAGTCTATTTAATCAAATAGTACATTGCACGAGTCGTTATTCGAGGTATACGAAAAAAAAATAAGTTGAAGCAAGCTGCTCAAATTAATTAATCTCGAAATCAATTTGAATAGTACAATAAGGTCAACAGTGGCCCTACGAAATTCTAGAGACTATATTTAGCGATCTCTGTAAATGATCACTCATATTCTCCATGTCTTAAACCCAATTTGTATCAATAAAACGTTAGAAACATATTTTGAGCAGCTTCGGTAGAAGAAATATGACATTGTAAAAAAGAATCCAGGAGGGGAAACCATTGTGACTGAATTTATGGAGAAACTATTTGAGTTTCTCAGTATAAAATCAAAGAGTATTTAGAGCTTTACAAGTGCTCTGGTTAAGATGGATGTTAAATGTCAGATTCTCATTGATAAATACTCGTATGTAATTTATCTCACTGACACTATTAAGGACTGTACCACAAATTGAATATTCAAAAATTTTTTGTCATGCATCCTTTAGAATGTAATCGTGTAACATTTAGAGATATTAAGGAACATACAGTTTCTCACAGACCATGGGAGATCTTGGATATACATTAAGAGAAGAAGGTAATCATTCACATTACAAACAGGCAAATAAAGTTTTAGGTCGCCAGCAGAAAGTAGAAACTTGGAATATTTAAAAATATTATCAATGTCAATAGTAGAAACAACAAAGGCCCAACATTAGAGCGCTGTGAGGCACTGGAAGACCACAATGTAGCCTGAAGTACTACTATTAAATTTTCACTAAGTGGATCTTTCCTATTAAATAACATTTAAGCCATGCGCACGGGTTCTGAGAAACCTAAAAGATTAAGTTTAAATAATAATTATAATAATACTCTCCCCAATTCACCCTCTTACGAGTAAATGTTGACCCCAAGAGATGAGCTTGTCCGTTGAAGGGACAGCCATTATTACTATTTGCCGTGACGCTTCGGGGCTACTTAAAGATGACTGATGGTGCCATTTGTCTTACAGGTGAGGAAAACCCCACCCACCATCATCGAAACGGTAACGCATTGTAATTTTTTTAATGTCATATGAACAGACATTAAATTTCTGCTAATGCGGCATCCACCAAATCCTTTATGCAAATAAATTCACAGCCTCTTCTGTAGGATTCGAAGCCAGTGTGTCTCCCAACCACAAAATTGCTCGCAAATGGATGCGAGCGCGTTAGACACCTAGATACGCCACCGATCCGATGTAATAATGAATGGTTCACACCATAGAAGGCTTTACAGAAGTCACAATAAGCAATATAATACACCTGCAGAATAACACCAAATTAGAAAATGTTAATTTTTTTTTATAAGGTAATTTACGCCAAATATACAAAATTTGCAGTTTTATATGTAAATCAATATTAGAATAATTTGTTTTTGTTGGGCTCACTGACTCCACTCTAATGCGGCGTATAGAAAAAGTTATAAAATTATAGAATGCTCGTTAAATTACAATTCCTAAATATGAGTTGAAATATTTACGAAAAATTCTAAACTACGTAACAACATAAAAAATACTGCAAAGTTTAATGAAATAAATGCCTTAAATGTAAAACAAACAAAAACAAAAGCAACACAGTACACTATAATTAAATAGTTTTTAAAGTTTGGCGCTTTACTTGGAAAACATCTTTAAGAATATTATTAAATTGTATTAACTAAAATATGTATGACATTGAAATGGCAACACCCAGTAAATGTGAGTATATTTTATTAATATTTTGGGAAGTTATTGGGATCAATAGGAATAATAATCGATTAAATTATGAAACAAATTTATTGAAAAAAATCAGTAGTGAGTTGCGCCTCCAAGGAAGTTTTGACACTATGCAATTCTTCGTGGCATGCTGCGAATCAGATGATCGATATCTACCTGAGGAATATTCTCCCAGGCTAATTTAATCTCGTAACTTAGTCGGTCTACTTCCATTATAAGAGCTCGCAATTAACCGAGCCTTCTATCTAGCATATCGCATACATGTTCAATGGGCGATAAGTCAGGTGACCTTACCAGCCATGGAAGTGTGGTTACATTAGCTTGTTGAACAAAGTATCTTGTAACTGCAGCGGTATGTGGTCTGGTGTTGTCTTGTTGAAATATGGGGTTTTGCAGTTGCTGAATGTATGACAACGCAACAGGTTGTAACACGTTATTAATGTAAGACTGGTCGTTTATGTTTATGTCTAAAAATACTAGTGGTGACCTGCTTCCAATTGCAATGTAACCCCATCCCATAACGCCTCTAGTAAACGCAGTCTCGCGCTCCATGCAAAATTGAAGTTGGAGCCTTTTTCCACGTCTTCGCTTGACTCTTACGACCAACAGGAGGCCACAAGCAGAAACGCGCGACTCTCACTGAAAAAGATCCGATCCCACTCCTCATTCTATTGAGCCCGTTCATCCCAGCCTCCCGTGTACCCACCATTCTCATATAAATTCACTTAATTGACGATACACGGCACGTCTTCTTATGGGAGGCATTGCTAAACAATGTTTTAAATACCATAAAAAGCAATAAAACCAAATATCTATTAGCAAATTCAACAAAAAAATGGGCACTATTCATTTTTTTTTAATTTTAAAATACTCTGGTACTTGAAGAAAAATTTGAGCAAAACTGTTATCATTTACTACACTTCATGTGAGCAATAAATTGACAAAAAATAATAAATATATCTGAGCTTACACAGAGTGTTGCAATTTCAATGTCACACAGTATATTATACATTTTATATATAAAAAAACAGGCAATAGTACATCAAGCCATTGACCGTTAAATATTAGTACTTCAAATCTATACTTCTACTAAAAATGTTCAAAGGTACATTAATAGAGTAACAATTCATTCTTGATCTCAGATTATAGTTTGGTTTATTACATAAAAAAATTCAACACCTACATGGATACGAGTTCCTATATATTCTACCCACAGACTACAGAACGAAAAGGTAGGCCATTGCATTTTACCGAACGAATATATTTCATATTAATTCTAGTAAGAACACTGTACGGATATGAAATCCACCAATCACAGTTCATATTTGGTCACTAGACTACTATTATTTTCTTTTTAATTTTTAATGAGTGACAATTCTGTTAGACTAAGTGTCAGTATACTTTTTAGTTATTAAGATTAAATATAATTAAAAATAAGTGATTCTTGTGGAAAATCGATAAATAATGGCATTCCACAAGATATTAGTCTATTTACAAATAAATCGTACGTTTTAATAAAACTCCAAAATAAATTTAAATGAACATTAAAAGTACAAATTAAAATTAGTTGTCTCGATAGAGGTGAGGTAGACTACTGAGTTGCCATGCGAAAGGCCGGGGTTCAAATCTAAGGCTATAGATTAATTAAATAAAATTCTTTGTCTTCAAGTTTTTATTTTATAAGTTAGTAAAAGTCACAAATTACTTTATTTTAATAGCCTCTAAATTTTATTTTGTGGGCCGTAGAAAAAATACACTGTACAACTCGAGGGGATTGTCCGTATTGCATTCACTCTTGTTACACACACTACTATTTTAGACATCTAAAAAGTTATAGTGACTTTATTTCCAAAGAATTTAAAAAGTTTATAACTGATTTTGATTTGTACTTCCAGGAGAAAATTTGGATTATAGAAATATAATAAGTATGCAAATATTGAATAGCACAGTCTCCCGTCTTTCTGGGAATAGAGCCAAAATAACATCCAAAAATTTGAAATATTAGATATTTGATTTATGGTTTCACTGTAATGCTCATTGCAAAATATTTATATTTAACTGCAACTTATCATTTAAATAAAATATTCCACGATTTTAATGACCAAATACTGTGCACTTTTATTTTGTGTAATTAATAAAATACTAATGTTGTTGCAGTAACTTGAGCCTTTATTTTGTAATTATTTAGATCTGTGAAAAGAGATATTGATCTACATCTATCTACTATGTATATTTTCGTATTTCACTGGCTAATCAAATTAAATTTGTTGTTTATTTTTGCTTGCATAATATTGCATGTTGTCTTTGTTACAAGTATATGCAATATTATCTGCCGGTAGTTAAGTTGCTTTAAAAAGTTGATTCTTTAAAAAATGTACATCCTTTAAATATGTAATTTAAACAATGTTTAATACAGAAAATATTTCTTGAATAACACGAAAAAATAAATATTGCTCTTCAAAAAAGTATACAGAAATTGTATAAATGACATAAAATAAAAAACATTTTATTAAGAATTCTTATTTTACTTTTTTCAAAGGCTACTTTATAAAAAATGTTTTGATTTCATACAATGTTATTTTATAGCAAAAGATAAAAATAAAATTCTGAACATTTTACTAAAATAAATTGTATATTTTGAGAAAGGAAGCTTCAGTAAATTTTAATAAAGCTGTGTACTTCAGTTTATAAAAATAAAACAAAATATACAATATTTCAAGTATAGTTGAGTATCATTACCTGTTCTTTTTCTAACATGTCCGCTTTCCTGAGAATTTTCATAGCGTACACGTGGCCTGTGTCTTTTTTCTGTACTAATCTAACTTCTCCGAACGCCCCTCTTCCTATCACTTTGAGAGGTTCGAAGTCTTCAACACCTAATCGAGATCGTTTTAGCCTAAGGAATTCGGTTTCTTTTTGGGCATGTTGCAGCCTCTTTTCATGTTTCTGCTCCTCAGAGAGACTGTCGTCTTTTAAGGATTCTTCTAATTTTGCTAACCTGCAAAAAACAAAAATAATTTTAGATAAATTAAAATTCTAAAAATTGTAAATTTAAAAGTAGACAGGTTTAGGGAGCAGGGGGTTCAAGTTTTTCTTATTTTTGCTGACAAAGAGAGCAGGGGGATATTATAAATATTACCATGGGCGTCGTTACACTATTATATAGGGAGGCGCAAAATATTGAAAAAAAAATTAAATGTTTATTTGTTGGAAAACAAAGAAAATTAAAAATAAAGGAGCCATACAAAATAACATAACTATCTCATAAAGAAAATAACCTAAAAAAAGTGAAAAAAGTATAATTTTTTATGTTTTTGGGATGTAACAGGCTTAAAGAACCTATAGTATCTACCTAACAAAATATCAGTAATGCATATCTTCCTGTTAAATATAAATGATTGAACTGTGAGAGCGCCCTATATTCATTAAAATACTTCAACAATATATTTATATATTATTATGACCTCCCTGTACATTGGGACAGGAAAAGCAACTGCTTCACACAGTAGGTAGTCCAATTCCAAACAGGCAACCGAAATTAGATTTTAATTCAATAGGCAAATCACAAAAGACTAATAATGAACAAAATCCAAAACCGATTAATCTGTAATTACTATTTTGAATTAACCCCTTAAGCTCAGACGAACAAAGTTTTGGTGAATCCAAAATACATATTATACATGATGAAATGCTGAAATAAAAACTGATTTACGTATGTGTATCTTTACATTGTTCATACTAGTATTTTAACTAAATAAATAATAGATTTTACCTTATTATGTAGAAGAAATTAGATAATTTTATTGGTAATGGATAACAGTCACGACATACGAGTATTATGGAGCACAAACATGGACCCTTAGAAAACGAACAATAAACAAACTTAAAGTATCACAATGGGCAATAGAAAGAAAAATGGTAATTGAATTCTGTAACGGTATACCTAGAATATTGTTATTTTTCTCCCATTTTTAGAGCCCCATCTCTAATCGATGTTACGATTCGGCGTGCTGTCAACCCACTAGGCATTCTAACGACCTGTGAAAATGCTGAGAAGTGGGGACTGACAGTTCAGATATAGCAACCCTGAAGACCTGTTGTCATTGACAGGGTCAATGATAGTAATGATACATATACAGGGTGTTTATTAAGTACTTGTACAAACTTTAAACGGTGAATCTTTGACTTATTTTAAGGCAGAACGTTCATATGAACACATGTCCTAAACCTCTTAACTTTTGAGCTACAGGGTGGTAAAGTTTTCAGAAAAAAATTTTTTTTTTTCAAATAACTAAGAATATTGCAGATATTTTTACGAAATTTGGTACACGTCTCCTACGCATTAAGATGCATTTTTTAATGTACAAATAATTTTATTATTTCTACCAGTGGCGCCCGTACGGGTTTCGTATTAAATATTTTTTCCGAAAAAAATAGTACGCCACTGCTTCATCTTAAAATAACAAATATTTTTGCAATCCTCATTTAGTTTTGAGCAAATTTGGTCTGATGAGTTTTTTCTCCGACGCATAGTTTTCGTCAGACGCATACTATTCTGCATGGAACAAGTGAAAAATGTGTCTTTTATTGATCAATATTGTTATGTGATAAACTTAGATTATTTACAGACTAAGACTAAACTACTTTTACAAATAAGTTAATAACATTTACAACAATAGCTGAAAATGCCCGCCGCCTACTGCAACGCATGCGTCAATTCGCCTTAACATTGATTGACGTACTCTTTCGAATATACCTGGTGTCTGATTAATAATGGCACACAATTCAAATATCCTGTTTCTTAGATCTTGCTCATTTTGAACGGATGTTTTGTAAACTAGTGTCTTTAAGTGACCCCACAGAAAAAAAATCCAGAGGATTTAAATCTGGTGATCTGGGAGGCCAGGCTTGCGGTCCCGCTCTTCCTATCCAACGATTAGGATAAATCTCGTTCAGAAATTGACGTGCAGCCAAACAAAAGTGTGCCGGTGCGCCATCGTGCATAAACCACATCCTGTTTCTGGTAGCCAAATCAATTTCTTCTAAATGTTCAGGAAGCTCGTGCTCCAAAAATCTTCTGTACTCTTCGCCATTTAGCCTTTGTGGAAGAATGCAAGGTCCAATAAGGTGATCCCCGATAATTCCGACCCAAATATTTAGAGAAAAACGATCTTGGAAATTATTTTCTATGATAGCATTGGGATTATCCTCAGACCAGATATGGTTGTTGTGGAAGTTCATGATGGCATTTCGAGAAAAAGAAGCTTCGTCTGTAACAAGTACATGGCCTAAGAAATCCGGGGTTGTTAATAATTTATTTCGCAGCTAAACGCAGAAATCTACTCTGAGAGGAAAATCTCTAGGTAGTAATGCCTGTACACGTTAAATATGATAAGGATAAACAAAAATAAGGCCTGGACAAACGGAAATAATGAGTGGACAAACAATTACAGTAGTTTATTTTAATAAATTACTACTAGAAGTAATTATTTATATTTTTATTCCTTTATTTGTTAATAACTAATTTCCGTTGGGTGGACAAACAAAAATAAGGCACTGAAAAACGAAAAAAACAAATGATTCCAGTAGTTTTAATAACTTGCTATTAAAAGTACTTAGGTTAATAATTGTTTATATTTTGGGCGCTTTATTTTGTTCATAACTAATTTCTTTTGGGCGGGCAAACGAAGATAAGGCTTGGACAAATGAAAATAATAAGTGGACAAACGATTGCTGTATTTATTTCTACTGAAATGTATTAAGGTTGTCCCTAAGGACCAGGCGAATTGTTATTTTTTATTTTTTATATATCTCGGTTTTGTGTGGTGGACAAACGTGGACACTATGGACAATCGAATGCCAATTAAAAGTTTTTTAAATTTTATGGCAGTGTAATGTTATATTTGGCTCGAATTTTTAATTTTGTCATAAGAGAGTGGACAAACTAAATTTTTTGTTATACAAACGAGGACAAATCGAGGACAAAAGAATGACAACTTCGTTTTATAAAAATTTCGTTATGAGGTTGAATCTGAAGCTATTTTCGATTAACAAAAAAAAGTAAAAATTTTGTCAAATGTGGGGTACATGCAGATACTTGTTGAATATAAAATTATTACTGTTCCGTCTCTTTATATATGTATAATCAGTCTTGTTCTACTCATCTAGATTTTACTCTTGTAACGCTAGAAATGCTGACTTCGACTACCTAGAGACAGAGATTACTAAAAACACAAAAAACTTATACGACGTTAGTCTATATAAAATGCAATTCCTAGCAATTTAAAATGAATAAATTTATTTTATTTTAAAACTTTTTCTTAGAAAATTTCTGGCATCAATAAATAACCAATTAAAATCGTTCATTTTCAGTCACGTGTATCAGCATATCCAATCAACTCTGACTTACACTGATAAGTTCCCTAGGGGTGTTATCACTTAAGTCAAGTTTGCACCAAACAAATTATACAAAAAACGCATATAAAAATCAGTGGTGTGTCCAGGGCTGTGCTTAAGCCGCCCCTGCAAAAACTACCTCTTTTATTTATATTTTTGTAAAAAAAGGTATTTATAATATTGGATTGGCGCCATAAAAATGGTGTGCCTTATAGGTTCACCATGCCACTGATAAAAATACACGTTAGTTGAGAAATGTATTTATTAAATTTAATAGTAAATAAAAAAAAATATTTTTTTAATTAAACAATTAACAAAAAATTAACAATTAAAAATAAACATTTGGTAATAATTATTATACATATTTTATAAACTATTTAATTTAGTAAATATTCAACATGTCCTCTTCCTTCTTGAATACAAAAATATAAATAAAAGAGGTAATTTTTGCAGGGGCGGTTCAAGCAAACCCCTGGGCACACCACTGATTTTTATATGCGTGTTTTGTACAATAACTCCTGATCTACTCTTAGTTTTTTTGATATGTTAAGTCCGGGACGGACGAATTGATCTAGAAATTGAGTTAAAAAATTGTAAATAGCTCGTTAAATAAGATACAAAGGTCATTTCGCTATAAAAAAATTTAAAAATTCATAGTTCTTTTTGATTTTAAGATCGATACAGCAAGTTTCTTTATGTTAAAAAAATACGGGGGGGTTAAATGGTACCCAACCCCCAACCTTTTTTTAAAGGGGTCGCTTTAATTTTTTTTCTCCTTAGAATATTGAGCCTTCAAATCTACAGCACTGGCAAAAATTTCGAAGAAAAAATCGCAATAGCAAACTTTTTACAAAAAAAAAAAGTTTTTCTGAATGTTAGTTTAACACCCTGTAACTTTGTTGGGAGCCAGTTTTTGATATAGGTAAATATAGCCAAATCCACTTATTTTTTGGTAATCTATCGTAGGATGAATTTATGACATACCTTTTTGAAACACCCTGTATAGAGTGGAAATGGAGCTTAATGTTTAACGCATACAAAACGATATTTCGAAACAAATCTCTTATTGCAATTTACAATGAAAATGTATACCTATAGCTACGTTTATCTACTTTCATTATTCATCATAATACCCGGTTCAAGGTAAATTTCCTGTGACTCAACCGCTTCATTGTATTTGTTTCCCATCGAACCAAAAACTGTACAGATGTTGGAAATCCGAGATTTATGATTGGTGTTGTAAAATTAATGCTGGGCAATGCGATACTTAACCTATCAGGGTTGTTATTATTTATTGCACTAGAGCTGTTATTAAATAAAAAATGTGCACCGGTACCGGTAATTGCCCTCCATTAGACAAATTACGTAAAGGATGCGAACATTCTAGAGTTGATGGTCGATCAACCTGTCCGTCCCTAAATAAAAAAAATTATATATTTTTTTTTAATTTACATGAGTACTTTGAGTATCCAGCATCAATAGTGATTGCAAAAACGATAGATATTTAAAAGGACTAGGCACCTTTTTTTATGAAAAATGGTCGTTAGTCAATCTGAAATGCGGCAACAACCCAAGCAGCAAGGTGCCGTCATTATGACGTGT